AAAAGCACAGAATGTAGGAACCAATTTTCTTTCTTTCTTTAAAAAAGATTTTATTTATTTGTCAGAAAGAGAAAGAGAGAGCACAGTAGAGAGAGGGACAGAGGAGAAGCAGGCTCCCAGCTGGGCAAGGAGCCTGATGGTGGGACTCAATCCCAGGACCTGAGCTGAAGGCAGACACTTAACTGACTGAGGCACCCAGGTGTCCCAGAATCTTCTTTTAAAGCTTACTATAATGGGCATCTGGGTGCCACGGTTGGGTGTCCAACTCTTGATTTTGGCTGGGGTCATGATCTCAGCGCTGTGGGATCATGGGATTGGCCCCACGTTGAGCTCTCCACTCAGCACAGAGTCTGGTTGTCCTTCTCCCTCCACCTCTGCTGGTCCCCCCACTCATACTCTCTCTCTCTAATAAATAAACAGAATATTTATTAAAAAAAAAAAACTTACCATATATACTGGGCTCCAGCTTCCCATCAGCAGAGGGCAAGGCGGTGTGGATAGCAGCCCCAGCACCCTGTCCCCTGTCCCCCTCGCCTGCTGTAGCCCGATGAGTGACCCCGACGAAGATCACCAGGTGTGTGGTGGTGGGAGATGGAGCTGTATGTGAAACTTCCCTACTGATCAGCTACACAACCAATGCATTTCCTGGGGGATATATTCCCACTGTCTTTGACAACGACTCTGCCAATATTCTGGTAGATGGAAAACCGGTGAATCTGAGCTTATGGGATACAGCTGGACAAAATTAGGACAGATGAAGTCCCTTATCCTATCTGCACACAGATGTGTTCTTAATTTGCTTTTCTCTTAATTTGCAGGGAGTCCTGCATCATTTGAAAATGTTCAAGCAGAGTGGTACCCTTAAGTATGATGTCACTGTCCCAACACCCACGTCATCTTGGTGGGGACTAACCTTGATTCAAGGGCGACAAAGACACGATTGAGAATTTGCAGGGGAAGAAGATGACTCCCATCACCTACCGTGGTGTTTGACCACAGCTAAGGAGATCGGTGCTCTAAACCACTGGGGGTGCTCAGCTCTCCTGCAGTGAGGCCTCAGACAGTGTTTGATGAAGCTATGCGAGTGCTTCTCTATTGACTCCTGTCAAGAAGAGGAAGGGGGCACCTGGGTGGCTCAGTGGGTTAAGCCTCTGCCTTCAGCTCAGGTCGTGATCTCAGAGTCCTGGGATCGAGCCCCATATCCAGCTCTCTGCCCAGCAGGGAGCCTGCTTCCCCCTCGCTCTCTGCCTGCCTCTCTGCCTACTTGTGATCTCTGTCAAATAAATAAAATCTTAAAAAAAAAAAAAAAGAAGAGGAAGAGAAATTGCCTGCTGCTGTAACTGAATGGGCCCTCGGAACCTTTGTACACTTTGATCAAAAATGGTGGAGCCTTCGCCCTTGGTGCCATGTTTTTTTTGTTGGTAACAGATTTTGTTACCTTTTCCATAAAACCATTTTGAATCAATCAGTAATTTTGAGGTTTTATTTGTTTAAAATGTAAAGACTTTAAACTTACATTATATTAAAATTGAGCCCTAAAATAGCAAGCTTTCTTAAAGCCTTATTCTTTTTCTTTTAAAAAGATTTTATTTATTTATTTATTTGTCAGAGAGAGAGAGAGAGAGAGAGCACAAGCAGGGGGAGCAGCAGGCAGAGGGAGAAGCAGACTTCCCAGTGAGCAGGGAGCCCGATGCGGGACTCAATCCCTGGATCCTGGGATCATGACCCACGTGGAAGGCAGACGCTTAACTGACTGAGCCACCCAGGCATCCCTTAAAGCTTCATTTTTCAAAAGCCTCTATTCTTGCCCAGATGAAGCGTTGCCAAAATACCTTGTGAACTAAAATGCGTTGTTGTGCTGAGAACACTGAGCACTAATCCTTTCAAGACCTTTGTCTTTAAGGAGATACTGCTGACTGGGTGGCTCAGTTGGTTAAGCCGCTGCCTTCAGCCCACATCATGATCCCAGGGTGCTCGGATCGAGTCCCGAATTGGGCTCTTAGTTCAGCGGGGAGGCTTTTCCCTCTCCCTCTGCCTGCTGCATCCCCTGCTTACGTGCTCTCTGACAAATAAAATCTTAAAAAAAAAAAAAAAAGTTAGTGTATTCCCTGCTGCTGAGACTTTGAACAGACCTCTTATTCCTGGGTCCCACTGAGGAAGTATGGCTCTGGGTGTGGGTGCACAGGAGTGGGTGTGTGCTGCGTGTGACATGATCAAAGAATGAAGACAGTATTTTGACAAAATATGGAGGTTAATTTACACTACGTTGTACATGTTACAGTTAAACTAAGTAGAAGTGTCACAGGTAAAAATTTAAAAGGGTAATTTCTGTCAAATGCAGTAAATGATAAAGACAGGTCATTATTACCAAAAATAAAATAAAGCTTACTATATACTCATGTTGGGCTTTGCATTTTGCAAACTTTATTTCATTTTATCAAAACAATACCAGGAGCTACATGTTAACATCCCCATTTAATAGAAAGCTCGCGGGCAGAAATGTGGAATCACTTGTTCAAAGTCACTCTGCTAAAGTGGGAGGACCAGCATTTGACCCCACAGCTGGCTGCCGAGTCCTCTCCTGCTTCCCACGGTAACCTTGTCTTCAGCCGGGGCCCAAGGGCTCTGTAACCCATGGCGCTTCCACCCCATTCCCACCTCAGCACCAAATCAGATGGACTGGGCAGCCCCCTCCTCTTCAGCTAGCTGAAAGTGTCTCCCCTGGAAGTTCCAGAAACATCTGCTCAGTGGCCATTTTTTCCTGACAAGGGGTGAGGTCAGAAAGTCTTCTCTAACCTGCACGGAAAGTCTTCTCTAACCTGCACGGAAGAAAGGCTGTAGAGGCCACAGCACAAATTTCCACGACAAAACCCTCAGGATTAACAGGACAGTGTAAATGAAGGCCTCCCAACAGGGATCTGGAACCAGGGTGCTGACTTCAAATCCTTGTTCTGTCACTTTCAAAGCTTTATGGTTTGGGGCCCATTTCTTCACCTTTCTGTGCTCTTTCCTTGCCCGTAAAATTGAAATGACATTACCAACTACCTCTTCCAATCTGGGGCTAACTGAAAAAAGATTCTAGGAAGCTTGCAGTGTCTAGTGCACAACAGAGGTCCCGTGGGCATTACTGTAGGGCTCTAGTAGGCGGGAGGTCTTGCTGGGTGAGGACCCAAACATCTATTCCAGCCCAGCCTGGGGTATAAGCCTGCCTGGAGATGTGGGTCCCACGTGTATGCGCCGGCTATAGGCACAGCTGCACGGGGCACAGCGCTGTGGCTCCTGGACAAGGCAGTGGGGCCTGCTAGGGTCAGGAATGGGCAGAGCCAGTGATGGCATAAGACTCTGGGAACCCCTTTCCTGTGTTCCGGCTGTGTCTGCATGTGTGCGTGCATATGCAGGCACAGGGAGGGGCACGGAGAGCATTTGCGTTGCGGTAGCCCTGTCAGTTAGCCTAGTTTGGAATCCTATGGAGGACTGCTCTGGGGTGTTGGGTATCTTTGCATATTCACACTCAGAGAACTGTGAACATGTAGCTGGCGGGGGCGGGGGGGTACTCAGGAGAACAACGTTCGCCTGGGACACAGGGCAATGCTGACGACTGAGGCACGCAGCTGGCATCTGAGGAAAGATGCAACTTGTACCAGCTAACCCCCTGCCACCTAGCCCATCTGTGAAGCCATGGAGCATGTTTTTGAAGCTTTCTGGGAACAAACCGCAAATCCATGTGTGGGGGCACAGTATATCATAAAACTTGAAGGTTCCCCTTTTTCCTAAAGCTCCTTGCGGGGGGAGGCTGGTGGCCCGAGTGGGAATCTGTGCTCTACTGGAAGTGACCAGAAGTGTCCTGTGTCCCCCCACTGGAACGACAACCCCAGATCCGGGCCAGGCCCTGCCCTTGGAGAGTCCCAAGTTGGGAAGCCAGGACAAGGTCACATAGGATTCAGATGGCCTTGCCCACGTGCACAGCCAGCCGGACGGTCACGGCTCAGCCTCTAGGGTGCCAGGCCCGGCTGCTGTAGCTTCAGAGCCTTGCTCGCTTCTTCAACAATGTTATGGAAGGCCTCAGTCCAGAGCAGTAACAAGACCCACCACCCTGCCCTTGCAGACAGCATGTTTCAGTGGAGGGGAGGCTGAGTACTATCTGCCGGGTAACTTCTTTACAGTAAGCTCTGAGGGGGGCGGAGAGGTACAGGGCATGGGACAGGCACGAATGGGGAAGGTTCGGAGTCAGGTGGTTGAGTACTCCTGCTGGAGGAGCTCTGAGGACCTGAGACAAGGGCAGGGTGGGAGAGAGCAGCCCAGACCCAGGCACTGAGGAAGGAGGGGGCCAGCAGTGAAGCAACCATGGAGGTTATGGAGGTTAGGCTCCATATAGCTGGGGGGTGGGGGTGGGAGACAGGACACCAGATGGCTAGAGAGGCCATTAGGCCAGGGCTCAGAGAGGCGGCTCTAGCCAGAAAGCTACGGGACACCCGCAGAGGGTTGTCCGCAGGATGGAACCCAGTCAGAACTGCATGTCCAAGAACTGGGAGAGGTGGGGACAATGGACTGGAGGAACCACCTGGGAAACGCCTGAAGCCATCACCCTGCTCCTGCAGTACTGAAAGTCACTGGCATGGGGATTGGGGAGCAGCTGGAGCTCCTCAAATCCAGACCCCAAGCTACACTTCTCTGGCCAAGATCAGTCACACGTGGCAGCAGCACTTGGATGACAAGCCAAGGGGTCTCCTGCAGTGGCATTTCCCAGAGTGGAGACTTGCTCACCCACTCAGTAACTCATCTGTCCACCTCTGCATTCATCAAGCAAGTGCGCACTGCCATCCCGGGATCTGAGGGATGGGGTGTCTGCCCAGGCCGAACACTGGGTCCCACATGCCGGTCAAACGGAGCCAGAGCACTGACCTCCAGCCACTGTGACTGACCCAGCAGGAAGACCTGCTACCGCACCCTGCTCACTGCCTGTTCGGTCTCCGGCAGGAAGTGCGTGCCAGGGCCGAGTGGGCTTCCTGGTACTGCACTGTGCCCTTCCCTAGGAGTGGCCCCGTCTCTTCACCCTGAATTACACCGGCGCCAGGCCTGAATGCTTCCATTCTTCCGGGGAAAACACAATTGGCAATAAAAATACATGAATGGCCAAGTGAGTCTGGCTTTCTGGCCACAGCTGCTCTTACCTTCCCTGGGAAGGGGTCTCCCATCCAGGGATTAAAAGTGGGGTCTGATCTACCTGCCACCAGGAAGCCTTGAAGGAAACGAACAGAGTAAGGGTGCAGCATTCCCCTGGGCTACGGGTGTGACACTGGGCCCAGTCCATCTCACCCACCTCCACCCTGCTTCCTCCCTGCCATCCCCCTCGGAACCCCCCAGTTCCTCTCCTCTCCAGGTACTGGCCATGCTCTGGACTACATCAACAGGTGCCCTCCCTGCAAGGCCTTGGTTTTGCAATGGTTCGTTCCTTCTTCTTCCTCTGGCCAGAGTTCCTGCCAAGTCTCCCATGCCACAGGTCTTGCCAGGTTCCAGCAACGCTTTCTCTCCCTTTCAGGCCAAGGGGCTCTGTCTGAGCATGCCATCAGGCCTGGGTAAACCTGCTCTGAAATCCCACCTCAAGCTCCCTCTCCTAGCCTCTCAGGGCCATGCTAGCTTCTCACCTGGGCCTCTAAAAGCTTTACTTTCTCCAATGGTGGAAGGAAGTGAGATGAGACCACCAGGTGAACTACATGGTGGTTCTTCACTGTAGGAAAGTGTTCCCGTCCTATAAGCACTGCTGGTGGGGAGATGTGGCCTGACTCCCACAGCCTGCTGGAATTCTAAGAACAAGGAGGGACATCCCATCATTGATGGCGTGTCCTCTTGGCCAGGCCCTTTTGTTCATAGCTCACACAACCCCCAAATCCTGCCAGGTGATTTACAAATACCCCCATTTTACAGCGGAGTAAACGGAGGCTCAGATTCAAAAGGGACTCGCCCAAGGTCACTGGAATCATGGACAGGGGTAGAATCTAGGCTGTTTCGTTTCAGAGTCTCTGATTCATTTGACACTGGGTTCTGGGGCCGGAGGCACCAAGAGCCCCCAGAGTCAACAGCAGGGTGGTGTCTGCATGAGCCCCATCCATCCTTGTGATGAGACCCTCAGGAACGGCCCGCGGTGAGTGCTGCCCTCCACATCTGCAGCACGGAGTCCCGGCGGGTCGTGTAGGGTAAATGTTTGATGCGGAACCAGTGTCTGGGAACGATGTTCCCGCTGGGCGTATACAGCTTCTCTCCGTGACTGCCCAAGACACTGCGCAGGGCTACGTTGCCCGACAAAATCTTCTCATAGAACTCCACGCCCCCTCGGGCATAGGCTGCAGACAGTGCAGCTGTGCGACGGTCCAGCCAGCCTTCCAGGGCATGAGTGAGAGAGTCCGTGGAGAAGGCATAGGCCACGAAGCCCACCACTGCTGCCACCAGGTTGAAGGCCGCCCGTAAATTCATGGGGCCTCCGTAGAGCCCCAGTGCATGCTTGGCACCCACGCCCAGGGTCCAGGTTCCTGCTAGGCAAGCTGGGGCTGGCAGGGCCTGGAGGACGGCTGCACCGCTCTCCAGGTATACCACTTCCTTGGCCAAGGCAAACTTCTGGGCCTCATGGGACAGGGTCAAGGCATCTCTCAGCCGGGTGCCTGCTGGGCTTTGCCAGTTCACTCTTTGCCCGTGCACCACCACTGGGTGATCGGTGTTGGTCAATGTTCTCCCCAGGAAGGTGGCTGGGATGCCCACTACAGCCCCCGCAGGGAGTCGCGGGAAGCCAGCACTCACGGGCTGGAAGGTGAACGTGGTGAAAGCCTCGTAGCTGTGGCCTGAGGGGACCCCGATGTCCTGGAGCACCTCTTGGAAGAGTCCCCCCAGCTCTGAGGAGAGTGGGGCTGGTTGGCCCTGAGGCCAGTATCGGTACAGCCACTGGATCACGGGATCTGGGAAGAGGTGGTATGAGATCTGGGCCCCGAACAGCCCTGCACAGGAACCCACCAACAGGCCTGTCCTGTGTCTCTGCACAAATGCTGCAGCCCGCCACAGGGGACCGGCCATGAGTGCTGGCACCGTTGTATACCTAGGCCAAGAAAAAGAGAATCAGCCAACGGTTCCCTGGGTGAGCTGGCCGACTGAACATAGCCCAGGGCCACATCCTTTTGAACAGAGGCAATACAGGCAGGTGGCTAAGAGCATGAGCTCTCAAGCCAGAGTTCAAATCCAACCTCCATCTCTGTGTACCACCTTCCCCGTCGGCCAAACAGGCACCCGACAATGGCATCCTTGGGGTGGTTGTGATGAGCGTATGAATGAACGCACATAAAACAACTGGTCTGGCACAGCAGCAGACACCCCCTGTGATAATGCTGTGATTGTTACTTTTATTCCCATGGCTAGGCACGGCATGAAGTACAAACTGCCTCACTCCACTCTTCATCCCACTCTGAAGTCCTACGATCCCTAATTTATAGGTGAAACCTAAATTCAACTTATCTCCTGTACGCTAGACACAATTCTGAGAACTTTATATATACTGTCCAACAACTGAATCCTGACAACTCCATGACCTAATTATATTGCTCCTATTTTTGAACATTGGAAACTGAGGCAGAGATAGATTAATTGGACGAAACCCCAAACTAGCTAAGTGGCGAAGTTACAAGCTGAGTGGTGGCTCCCCTCCAAAGTCATATGCTGAAGTCTTAAGCCCCAGTCTCTCAGAATGTAACTGTATTTAGAAATGGGGTCTTTAAAGTGAGGTCATTAGGGTAGGTCCTAATCTAATCTGACTGGTGTCCTTAGAAGAACAGATTAGGACACAGACACTTAGAGAAGAAAGACCATGAGAGGGCACAAGCCAGAGGTGACCATCTACAAGCCATTGAGTGTGGTCTCAGGAGAAATGTCATGCTGACACTGTAATCTTGGAATTTGAGCCTCCAGATCCCGAGAAAATAAAATCCTGCCATCCAGTACTTGTCCTGACAACACTAGCTAACACAGGCACACAGGCTATCAGAGAGCTTTTCGTTTCAGAAAAAATTTTAATTCTAAATTACAAATATCTACATAAGTAGACAAAACAGCACATTAGCCAGCTTCAACTCATGGCCAATCTTGTTTCCTCTCTTCTCCCACCCACATTCCTCCTCCAACTGGCTTATTTTGAAACACATCCCGGGTGTCCTTTTATTTCATCCATAAATATTTCAGCAAAAATTCATAATTATTTTACTTTGGTTGAAGCTTACTGTCTTCCTGCCTGCTTGTGATAGCGGTTTAATTAGCACGTAGGTTGCTGCAAACAAGAACGGGGGTACCGCCTGGCCTGTTTTCACGAAAATTCCTAAAGGGGCACATCACTTGGGCCTATATTCCCAACCAAGGGACTAAAGCTAGGAAAGCAAGGGTCCTGGACAAAGTCCCGACGCCCCCAGGCCCACCAGCGCCAAGGCCCTCCTCCAGGCTGGGTGAGGAGGGGCTGCGGAAACTTCGCCGAGGGCTCCCCGTTGGGCGTCGAGCAGCTCGGTGAGCCCCGCAGCTCGACCACGAAGCTGGAGAAGACCCTGGGGAGGAGTCCCGTCCCACTTCCGCGAATCCGCGCGCGCGCGCAACCGGGACTCACCTTCTCCGCCGCAGCCTGAGCTGCCGCGACACGTGCGCGGGGCGGGTCTGGCGCAGAGCACGCCGGCCTGCGCTCTGGGGGCGGGGACTAAAGGGGGCGGGCCGGGCGCAGAGCAGCCTCCAGTGGGGGCGGGCCTCCGGGGGGCGAGCCCGGGGGTGGGGAGGGACCGTGGCACAGGGACTAGCCCGCTGGTGGCTGGTGTCGGAGCACCTTGCGGTGGGGCTGCGAACTGCCACACTCTCGCTTCAGGATGACCAAAGCGGGCTAGGGCTTCCTTGTCTGCACTCGAGAGACCGCCTTTAGGAAACAGCGTATCTGCATGGGTCAGGAGGTGGCTTACGGCTAAGCCCCCATCGGAGCCCCTGCCCACGTGACTACCGGGTCGGTGGCCTTTTTATTTTTTATTTTATTTTAAAAATTATTTATTTATTTATTTGACAGAGCGATCACAAGTAGGCAGAGAGGTAGGCAGAGAGAGAGGCAGAGAGAGAGAGTAGGAAGCAGTCTCCCTGCTGAGTAGAGAGCCTGATGCGGGGCTGGATCCGAGGACCCTGGGACCACGACCCGAGCCGAAGGCAGAGGCCCCAACCCACTGAGCCACCCAGGCGCCGCCTGTGGCCTTTTCTGTCTGGAAGCGTTCACCGCCAGTGAGCTGCTCTGAGCTTTATTTTATTACCATAGCAGCTGCCCCTCCAGTTCCTCGCAAATGATCCACACGGTACAGTCCACAGAGCAGCGACGCGCCTGTCACCTCATCTTCCTAGCAGCGCTCCAGTTAGGTCAGGGATCATCACCTTGCGGGTGGACCAAATCCAGTGCGCCACCTGTTTTTGTAAATAAAGTTTTATTGGAAGACAGTCATGCCCATTTCTTTATAGTTTCCTGTGGCTGCTTTATCCCAGAAGGGCAGAGTTGAGCAGCCAGGACAGAGACAGGCTGATACAGAAAGCCTAAAATTGTGACTATCTGGCCCTTACAGAAAAAGTCTGTGGACACATGAAGTACATTATTCCCATTTTACAGATCAAGAAGGGAGGCATTTAGTTTGAGCAGCTCATAGGCACCTAGCATGCACCTGAATGGCACAGGACTCCTGTCCCTGTACATTTCCCGTTCCATCTCCTGCCTCCATACAAATTCAGCCTAGTGGGTCTTGCTAATTCTCCCAAATGGGCCTGGCCTCTGCGTCTGACTCTCTCTTCCATCCAAGCCCTGGAGTAAGAGGGGAAAAGAACTGATCTTCTGGGTGGAAAGGTGAGACTGTGAGGGAAGATGAGATGTAAGGAGATCCAGAAGCTTGTGGGTATTGGGATGGGGCTTCCGACGTCTAGCAGGCTGTGGACCCTTGGGTCTCCAGACAAGCTACCAGCTCAGCCCTTTCCACAGGGCTCTTGACCACAAAAGAACCAGCTATAATGGTCAGTCGGAACCATACCTGATTCAAGGTGGAGAGACCTTGGGGCTGGTGTTTCCTGTCTCAGGCTTGGCTCAGCAACTCCTTCTGGAGCCATAGGTTGGTCCGGCAGAGATAACTGTGCTGACACTAGAGAAGAACCGAGATCTGGTGTGGCTGCCCCCAGATTGGGCTGGTGCTTCAGCTCAGAAGCAGTGCTCAGGGAGACTGCAGCCTAGGGAAAGAGAACTTTCTTAGGAGGCAGGGGGCTCTTGCTCTTTTGTAAAGGATGTCACCCCTCCGGATCTCAGTTTCCTCATCTCTAAAGTGAGGATAATATCGGTCTTAAGGTATCCTGTTACATCCTAATTGTGAAAGTTTTCTGGATAATCTTATCTATATAACTAAAGACAGTGAAGGGAGGCACTTCAAATCACACGTCCATGGATGGCATTTGGCGGTCTCCCTTTAATCTTGGCCCTGGAAGTCTGTCATAAAGGGGCCTGTGACCAGATGTAAATCTAGCAATGGTGAACAGCAAGGATGCTGGAGCCGGACTGCTTAGGTTAGATCTTGGCTCCATCCCCTACTAGCTGTGTGACTTTAGGCGAGTGAACCTCTTGGGGGCCCAGTGTTCTCATTAATAAATTGAGATGAGAGTGGGGTGCCTGGGTGGCTTAGTCGGTTAAGCGACTGCCTTTAGCTCAGGTCATGATCCCAGAGTCCAGGGGTTGAGTCCCGCATTGGGGCTCCCTGCTGAGTGCGGATGTGTGTGTGTGTGTCTGCTTCTCCCTCTGCCTGCTGCTCCTCCTGCTTGCGCTCTCTCTCTCTCTGTCTGACAAATAAATAAATAAAATCTTTAAAAAAAATTAGATGAGAGTACCATCTACCTACTAGGCTTATTGTGGGGATTCAATGAGTTCATGCATATATAATGCCCAGCACAGTTTAGACCATAGAGCTATTAGCTTGTATTACTGAGATCTGTTTGGGTTCTGAGACTCCACGTCTGGCTGCTCATTCATGTGTCTGTAAATAGTGCTATAACCTGCTTTCATATGTGACCTCAGCTAGATTTGGAATGTGGGATAGTCCGCAGGGCAAATGATGCGCTTTCTCTAAACAAGACAAGGGCATAAAAAAAACAATGGAAAGGAGAATGTTATAAAATAAGAGATGTGAAAGACTTAGCAGTTAAATGCAACACGTGGCTTTTGTTGGGATCCTGAACTGATAGTTGACTGTAAAAAAAGACACCTTTGAGACCACGGGGAGATCTGAATATAGATTGAGTGTCAGGTGATGTTAGTGAAGTGCTTATTTTGTTAGGTGGGATGAAACACGAAATTTACGTAAGCCAAAAAGTCCTTACAGTTAGAGATGCATAACGAAGTGTTGATAGGTGCAACGACATGAGGTCTGCTCTTTAGTTCAAAATATTACAGCCCAAACGAAACCACAAGTACCACCACAAAAACCAGGGTCTGAGAGGAAACAACATCAACAAAATGATGGTAGTTGTTGAAGCTTCCTGACGAGTTTAGGGGAGAGCTCATTATACTGTGCTCTACTTTATGTATGTTTGGAAATTTCCATAATAAATTTTTTTTTAATGTGTGTAAGGAGGTGGTGATTAGAAGGTAGGAGGCTGGAAATGGATGCTTCAGAGGTGGTATCCATATTGGTGATGGCAAGGTCAGGTGTATGAGTGTTGGAGTCAATGACTGTGATGGGGTGGCAGAGATTTCTGAGAACTGAGGCAGTGTTTGAGTCATGTTTTTAAAATTTTCCATATTTTATGAAGTTTTACAATTTGGGAGCCTTGCTAATCCTGGAAAGACTGCCTCTCCTGGGAGTAGCTATTTCCTAGAGATAACAAACGACACCCCCCACTTCTACCACAAGCATGCCTTTCATATGACAAACCAACTAATCCAGAGCCATTACCCCCGACCACCTCCTTCAGCTCTCACACGACAACCCAATATTTTCCCTGTTCTAAATAATCCCAGAGTAAGGTACTGGACAGCTAGAGGCCACCCTGTAAGACCAGAGCCTGCCAAAATTAATCAAACTATCCAATCCTAAACTTCTTCCAAACTCTCCCCCTGCCTCACCATTCCTCCCCATGGAAACCTCAACAGAGAAAGCTCTGGGCCCTGCTTTCTACTTGCTCCTCCTTCTTCCTGACTGAGCCCGGTACTTCCCCCATTGCCCCACATGGCATGGCATGTTCTCTCCTCTCGGTCAGTGTAAATAGTAAGTACTTCTTTCAGTGGCTAATTTTGACTGAGTATCTCATGTAAGTGGAAACATGCAGTATTTGTCTCTTTGTGAAGGGGAAATTTAACTTGGCATAACGTCCTTAAGTTTTGTCCATGTTAAAGCATGTGACAAGATCTCCTTTCTCTTTAAGGCTGAAAAATATTCCATTATATGTATGCACCATATTTAGTTAAATACATTCATTGGTTAATAGACATTGATTGTTTCCACCTTTTGACTGTTGTGAATAATGCTGTGATGAGTATTGGTGTACAAATTCTCTTTTTAAGACCCCACTTTCAAATCTTTTTATTTAAATTAACATATAATGTATTATTTGTTTCAAGGGTACAGGTCTTCAAATCGTTTATATGAACCCAGAAATGAATTGCTAGATGAAATGGCTTTTTTTTTTTTTTTTTTTGAGGAACCGCCATGTTGTTTCCCACAAAAGCTATACCATCTACATTCCCATCAACAGTGAGCGAGGGCTCCAATTCTTCTACATCCTCACCAACACTTGCTGTTTTCTGGGCATTTTGATAGCAGGCATCCTAATGGGTGTGAGATTGTATCTCATAGTTTTGATTTGTCCTTTCCTAATGATTAGTGATATTGAGCATCTTTTCATGTGTTTATTGGTCATTCATATATCTTCTTTGAAGAAATGTCTATTCAAGTGCTTTGTCCACATTTTGATTTGGTTGTTGTTTTGTTATTGATATTAAACTGATAAGAACAGCGACTACACTTGATCTTAACCAAAAGGCCGAGAAGCGATGTGTTTTGTTACTTTTAGGAGTTCTCAATAAACTCTGGATATTGATCCCTTATCAGATATGTGGTTTGCAAACATTTTCTCTCATTCTGTTGGTTACCTTTTTACTCTGTGGACATTGTCATTTGATGTTTTTTGAGAAGTTTTAAGATTTTCACCAAGTCCAATTTGTCTATTTTCTCTTGTTGCCTATGCCTTTGGTGTCATATCCAAAAACCATGGCCAAATCCAGCATCATGAAGCATCATGAAGCCCTATCACCATATGGCAACTATGCTTTCTTCTGGAGTTTTACATTTTTAGGTCTTACAATTATGTCTCTGATCCATTTTGAGTTAATTTTTTGTATACAGTGTTAGATAAGGGTCTAATTTCATTCTTTTGTATGTGGATATCTAGTTTGCCCAGCACCATTTGTTGAGAAAACTGTCTTGTCCTCAGCGAATGGTCTTGGCACCCGTGCCAAAAATCATTTGACTGTATATGTATGAGTTTACTTCTGGACTCTGTATTCTGTTCTATTTGTCTGCCATTATGCTAGTACCATACTGACTTGATAACTGTAGCTTTGTAGTAAGTTTTGAAATCAGGATGTGTGAGTC